ATCAGAACCAACTCCCATAGAACTACCGAGATTACTGCTACTATCGGTCAACATTATCGTGGCACATCGAGCTGCAGTGAACAGACGTTCGCTAACTACTGGCAATCTGATAGTGTGCTCAGTGAACGAATGTATAAAGTATATAGAAACTGGGTCTGTTCTGATGGAAGATAAAAAATAGTGAGCCTCTGTTTTTTCGGTTTTGCGCAGCCATTAACCATGCACTTTAGTGCGCCGGTTTCGGTTGCTGCCTTTTGGCTGCCCATTTAGACGGGCGGTAGGAGAAAGAAAGGAAGATTGAAGGTGGAGAAAATTGCGAACTCCAGTAAACCATGACTGCGAACAAATCAATAAGATGCACGAACGCAACTGTTTACGACACGCAGCCATAACACTCAGTGTCTCTAACCATCGGGTATGATCATCCCGAGGTCCCCAGCCANNTTCTTCCACCCACTACTTGCCTCGGCGAACATCGCTCGTCATGGCAACCTACCTGGTTGCATGCGTAACGCATGCCTCAACCAACGTAATTTATGGAGGTTGACCACTTGCTCCAATGGGCGACCGCGGTCACCTAAAACTCTGCACCTAACCTCAGCATTGCTTGTCCGTCTGACCCACCAGATTCGTGCAATGTTGCGTAGACAGCGATGTTCCATCACCGACAATCTGCTTTTATCCCGTTCCCGTAGGGGTCAAGACTTTGCACCGTAGAGCAGGACTAGCCGAACTGCTGCAGCATATGCTGGACCCTTCACAGACAGCCGAATGTCGCGACGACGCCACAGATGTTTCAAGTTGGCAAATGCCAATCGAGCCTTCTGTATGCGAGCTGACACTTCATTCGTGATGCGTCCACTGGGTGAGATATAGCTGTACAGATAGAAAAATTTGTCTACTTGCTCTATTACTTCCCCAGTTAGGGCGAGGCTGGGTGCAGAACCAACCCAGTCTTGAAGTAACATTTTATACTGTGAAGGTGCAAAACGCATACCGAACTTGGTTGCACTAGCACTCAAACTATCCAGAAAGGCTTGTAACATACCTGGATCTTCACTTAGTAGCACAATGTCGTCTGCATATTCTGGATCAGACAACCTGCCACCTGGGAGTAAGTCGATACTACTAACGTCGGACAAGGATGCGGCTGTTTCAAGAATTAAATCTATGATAAAATAAAAACGTCAACCTTGTCCAACAACACTTTCTAAAGTGAACCCGGATTCCAAAGTGCCGTAAGCTCGGACTGGGGTATTACCATGTGGGCATTGTAATATTCAAAATAAACTTATCAGGCATACCATTTGGAGCTCGACAGCACCAGAGTTCGGAGCGGTCTACTGAGTCGAAAGCCGCTTTCAGATCGAGGAAGATAGAAATGGTGTTTACGTGTCGGTGTTGAAGAATTTGATGAAGAGTGAAGATGTGGTCTATACAACGTCGATCAGGTCTATAACCATCCTGATTTTTACGTGAGGCTGCCAATCGACGGGGTGTAATATCAGCGAGAACTTTAGGGGAGATATTGATTGAACTAATTCCTCTGTGGATTTTCACAAGGGGATCTGTCGCCTTTCTTGTAAATCGGTATGATCAACACACGGAGCCCAGGAGTTTCCTCAACTCCGAAAGCAAGGCTGAACCTTCATCCTTAAAAGCCGATGGGGACAGCTCTTCTGGACCTGAAGCTCTGTGCCTTCTGAGACAATTTATTTCCCGGGGAACCTCTATTTCAGATGGAGGACTGATGTCAACTGGGAGTATTTG